AATGATCACAATATTGGCAAATGTCACGTTAAATCAACTTTTATCAAGGAAGATCTCGCTCAAAGCTCTTGAAACTGTTGCCTTTTTTTTTTTTTTTTTTTTTTTTTTTTCTTTAAATTAACTTCAAAAAGAATACGTCTGCTAAAATATAGTTCCATTTTTAATGATTTTATTTACAAAAGTAAACAATGATATATGCACTATTCACGCAAAATATGAAAAAACTTTTTGTAACATTTCGAGTTTCTAGGGTTGCAAATCAATGCGAATCTTCGTGTTTATTTCTGCAAATATGAAACAAAGGCGCGATAGACAACTGACAACAGAATCACTTGTTGCAGTTGTCTTTCGCGAAACTTTCCTTCCTTCGATAGTAAATTCCCTCTTTCCTTCGAAGAGCGAAATCTTATGTGGCACCCTTACCCTGTGACCCCTTTTGGACGTTTCTAAATATTTTTGCAGAATGCTAGACAAGGTTGCGTTTGTCACGGTCGAGCGATAACACCTAATTCCAGTTGTCATCTTATTATTTTCTACTTTGTTCAAAATTCATTAAAATCTGAATTAAAATAACCCGCCTAACAACGATTATTGTATGTGTTACGAGGAATCAGCGTAACATTCATAAATTTTCTGGACCAGTATTCGAAGATTTACTGGACTAGTATCCGAACATGAATGAAATATGAATATAAATATTAAATCTGTTTCTTCAATGCAGAAATGCAAATGACGAAAGAGAAGCTTGAGCTCAGGTGATAATAATGAAAACAAGGAAGTCAAGCTACTGGCGCCGTCAACATTCATTTACTGACGATTTCTATTGATGTTTATTTCATCTATTGATGACTGAATAGTGTGTTCATAGTTACTTCGTCAATAGATGAGGCCAGTAACGTGAATTCCTTCCTCTCATTGTTATCGCTTGACTACAGGCTTCTCTTTCGCCATTTGCACTTCCGCAGCTGAAGAAGTCATAAACCTTCGATACTAGTCCCACAAATTTATGAATATTATGCTGATTTTTGTTTTCTTAACATCTCCAATGTTCTTAAAAAGTTTAACATCAGCAAAGTGGTGAATTTGTTTCGATTGCTGTACAAAACCTGTAACCATAATCATATCTCGGAACGGGCGAAGAATACAAAGAATTTAGAAGCAGTCGTTGTTAAAGATCGCCACTGTACGAAGCATACGAGTTTAATTTATCTTCACATGGGCAGTGAGATCTATAAATATTCTCATGTGTATAGTCAATTTTTAGAATTATTATCTTGGAATTCTTAGAATTATATCTGAAAGATAATTAGAATCCTTGCAAAAGAATATTAATTTATCTTTCAAATTTAATGTGTTATTCATCAACAGTCTGAGCTATTCAAGCATGTAATAAGTGCACATCATAATAAGTTAAATTTTTATTTTACTATTTTTATTACTGCATCTATTTGAAATAAGCTTTTGGCAAGGGATTTAGAATATCTTTATAATAATGACAATTATCCAGATTGTTTGCCACATTATTTTCTTAATTTTCTAAAATATGTTAAAAACATAAAAGAGGCATCAAACGGAATGTTGCCCATGAACGTTTTCTCTTGCTGGAAAACAAACATACCTCTCAAACACCATGTAAGAGATCTCATATCAATGAAGAACATTATCATATCGAAAAATTACATACAATATCTCCCATCTGTTCATGGACACATATGTTTTTAAATTTTATTTGTAAATATCGGTTACTAAATATCTGCGAAGTAATTTTTTTTTACTTATGCTATTGAGCGTCATTTTTAAAATCTGCTTGTTTTGCAAAAACGTTATTCAATAAGTTTTTGGTTAAAAAAAAAAAGGAAAAAAGTTGTTTTTTTAAATTGTTCTGGAAATGAAGCATATTAGTGTTCTTAAAACAAACTTCACTTTGAACAAACAATTTATATTTAATAAAAACATGGCAGAAACGGCACATTAACAATTTAGCTGGATATCCTTTAGCTAAAATTACGTTTTTTATGCGCTTAGGCTTGGATTCGACTAATTTTTTTCGGGTACGAATGTTCCATTTCGTTACATTCCTAAGTATTGCTTTTATTGTAGATTTCGAAGAAATGTCACTTTCCTTTATTCCATTTTCCAAGCCATTCCATACATGTTCGATAGGATTTAAGTACGCGGAATATGGAGGCAGTTTAATAAGTTCAGAATAGTTTATAACTAACCACAACCGAACACTTCGAGCTATATGTTTAGAACCAATATTCCGATAGAACTGTAACATATTTGCATTAAACGTTTACAGTGGTTTTCAGGTTTTCATTAAGAATATTTAAATATTTATACTGATTCATATTTTCTCTTACAGCTAAATTTTTTATCCCAGAAACAGTGAATATTTCCAAATCATTATACCTCCAAACCTAGTGCTTAATAGTAGACAATACAGATTCCATTCGGTTTTTGCAACATAATAATTCATCCATCTAATCCAAATATATTTCTACAAATATAACATTGGTTCAGTATGGTAATTCTGGCTTATTTTTGCTTACCATGGATTTTGTGAACGAGAAGAGTATTTTCATTGATTTCTTGTTGACAAAGAATTTCCTTCTTATTCATCTTACATTCATGTGCTCTAATGACTTTTTTAACAACTTCAGTATTAACTTTTATTGCAACCCATTCTTCTAAATTCCGATTTTTTAGCTTCAAGCGGGATCCAGACTTCAGCGTAATTTTAATAATTCCATTTCAATTTCTATCTTTTATAACATAAAAGATCGTTGAACGCTTTACATCAAGGATTTCTGGATATTTCAAATACATTTAACATATTTAAAAAAATCAATAATTAAATTCCTAATAGAACTTGTCATTAATTTGTTGCGTCTTGCTATGTGTGCTTCAGGTGCCGAAACGCTAATATATTTTACTCAGCAAGTAATAATTTCCAAATGTAGACGATAATTCTTGTGACGTATTTTTATTTGAAACAAAAATTCATGATGAGAAACATCTACCAAAGCGAATTTAAAGTGTCCAAATTATTATGTGAGTTGTTGATTTGTTTTGTTTAATTATGGCAAAGTGCTCAAGGGATATCTACCTAACGGAAGGAATGCCTTCATGTAAGACTTTCTAAGGTGAATTGGCTCATATACACGTTACACATGGGGCAAATCACGAAAACACCCATGCAGCCAGCCCGTTCACCGGAATTCGGACCTCGAATCGAACTATCAGTGCTTAGAGATTTTACCCCTCGGCCGCTGGTGGGCTCGTGAGTTGTTTGTTGATTAACACTTTTTTAACAAATTATTTTATTACTAGGAATATGTCGGTAATATTTACTTTGCTACAAGCAAGGCCTAAAATTGAGAAACGTTTATATTAAAAACATAAGAATTCTGTGTTTCAGTATGTAATACAAGATCTATACAAATAAATTTAAAAATACAAGTATCCGAAAACAAATTCGAGCCATTGTAATATTTCTCTGTTTCCAAAATATAATGCACGGTAAAGATTCGGGTACGTGCAATGTTACATAAATAATGCAAGAAATTCTTTGGAAAGAAACTAATCATAATCATATTTGAATTAATAAGAGATAAGATTTCAGATTTCTTCTTCATAAAATTTCAAGATTCTGTGGGCTAAATTTTTCCTAAAATTTCACGCCTAGGTATATTTTACAACCCATTATGATTGCGATACGCATAGTCTCATCATAAACTTTGCTATTTCTTAAGTTTCTGAAATTTATTTAATTGCAATCAAAATTATATTTAATATTTTTGGTAAATTCTGAATATATACATGTATTATTTAAGAGGCCGAAGTTTGGTAAATCCTAGCATTTATCACAGTGAGTAGTAAAATAAGTAAAATAGCGAAAAGGCTTGTTAATGCTTCCATTTCAGGCTTTTACCAAAGTATTTTGGTAACTGGTAAAAGTTCGTTTTGCTTAATTGTGATAGTGTATATTTAAGTGCGTTATGTTTTAATATTTAATTAATATTTGAACACATAATTCAATTTCATAAAGATATGCTAGATAAATAACTACTGCATTATAAAATTATGCAAGATAAATAACTATATTAAAATTTTATTAGTTAAAATATGAAAAAGTATTTCTAACAGTTTTTAATACCATGTGTTTGAATTTTTAATTAATATTTAAACATGTAATTAAATTTTATAATATTAGGCCAGGTAAATAGCCGTAAATTATGTGAGATAAATAATATTATAAAATAAGACAAGAAAAATTATGCAACCAATAGCTGTATATTAAGCAAGATAAAAAATTAACAGTTATTTATCTTGCATACTTTTATGAAATTTAATTTTTATATGATATTTATTGCACTGGGTCAATATTCTTAACCAGCATGGCTTATTTTAGCACTTTCTAAATGCAGTAAGAAACAAAAATCTAATATGTCACATTATGATATGATATAAAATTTCTGTGCCATTAAAAGTTAAAATAATGCATTATAATAGCTTGCCATTTTTAGGAACCTTAGTAACAGGTGTTGGTAACTGCTCGCATTTACCAACAGGGCTTAAATAAGTTTGGTACGTAAGCATTTTTCAGACTTGTGCCACTGTATTGTGATAAACATTACGATTTACGGATAAAAATTTAAGATATACCAGTTTTGGGTTTTTTACGATAGCATTGTGCATAGGCAAAACTCGATCTTTGAATTTCAGCAAAAGAATGTACATACTTCATATTTGGTTCTGGTTGCAATTTAAAAGAAATATTGGTCACAAATTGTCACCAGTAACATATTAAAAGTACGAACGGGTCACAACCAGATACGATTTGTACTTTGAACCTCGAGGTCCGGCTATCAGACGTTGTTCCTTCGCAGCAGCAGTACTCAGTCAGCAGCAGAGGAAGTCGTCAGGGAAACGGAAACAGCACCTCCTCTGCGAGAACGTGTGGTCATCCACTTGTTCCGCACACGCGTCTTTGGAACAACACTAGCTGGTAAGTAATTCTGATTGTGCTAAAGGAGAATACATATTTATATGAGTTTCACAAACCGAGACCAAGCAAGAAATTTGTGTTTAGTTGGCACATATCGCAGATGGAAAGCATGAACAGTAGGGTAAGTAATTTTGAGGGATCTTCTTTCCATTGCTCAATGCATTTTGTTGCTATATTCAAATGGCGATGTAGAAAACGTTAGGTGAATAAAAAGTTATAGGTACACAATGTAGTTAGTTACAGGCATCTCGCGAACATAGCATTTACCACTCATTCAGGTTGTCACAATGCTGGAAATTCTTAATTTTCTGTAATTTTACAATGATTATGTAAACAATTAATCCTCTTGCTCTCTTCTTGGTGCCTGAATATTGATTATACTGCATAATTTGAAGAAAATAATGATGGCTTCATTTAATTTTTGAATTTTGTCCATCAAGTGGTTTGTGCATGAGGCATATTTTGCTCGCTCAACGAGTTGCCCCGCCCATTACATAGTAGTCTAAGAATAATAAGCTCATAACAGGATCCTATTGCAATACACAAATAATCTTATAAATTATGAATAAGACTCAAGTAACTTGTCCGAAGGAATTTTTTTCTTACATACATTTTTAATGAGATAAAAAAAAATTCGAAATTGAAAGCAATTAATTTTATTCTTACTATTCAGCAGAAAAAATCACCTTCGTTTGTTTGTAATCAAACGAAGAAGATTCAAGGGTTTAAAGACCGCAAATTAGTATATAGTACAAAACGTTTACTAAACGAATAATTTTAATAGAACGTAACTTAACAATATAATAAATACACTTGAAAGACTATCATTTATGTGTTAATTAGGGGACATTTTTAAAGTAAAATGAACTTTTAGAAATTAATTGAACTTTTATAAGGTTCTGAGGTCTATTTCAGTTTCAATAATTTTATGCATTCTGCTTGATATGAACATAGGTAGTGATAAAACATAGAATACCCTAAATTGTAATTTTGATTATTACTGAAAAATTATTCTAATTTTTTTCTTAATTAAGTAAAAATTTTAGCTGAAAGATAAAATGAAGTCACAAGTCACATGCTACATTCAAAATATCATCTTTAAATAAGTTTAAAGCAATAATGAAAAATAGATATCCACTCATAATAAAATCTTTTATGAATGATCAGTTGATGACAATCGAGGAAATTCTGACTAATTTTCCTATATGTAGTTTAAACTAAACCTATTTATTAAGCACTAACTGCATAGTATTTACTTAAATTCACATCAATTTGTTCTATAAATATCTGGAATACCTTGATGAAACCAAGAAGGAAAAATCAGTAAAATAAAAAAGAAAATATGTACTTAAATTTACGTATAAAAGTAATGTAACTCAAAAGTTTTACTTATTTATCTTCTTACGTTTATATTGGTTCCATTTTCAAGAATAAATAAGGGTAATGGGTGAACGACATGTAGAAAGGAAGGAATCTTAATAAGTATAATTGCTATTTCTTAGAAAAGCATTAGGGAATTATATTTTACTCAGAAAGAAGTATACCATTGTATACACGTGTTATTATAGCTATTGCTTATGTGAATTTAACTATTACTCTTCTCATACTGATTTATCAAGTACTTAGGCATAATTTCTTGTAAATGTATATATAAAATGGCAGTCTTACTACAGGAAAGCATAAAATCAAATTTTCTTTAAAATTATAATAGAAGCAAAAGCAAATTAGTATAACAAAATTCACACAGTGTAGAATAATAGTTGAAAATTCTTCGGCCTTTGTCAAGAAGCAGGCAAAAACATTTTCAACAGATCCACTTGCTGAGAGCTAAGACAACAGAGCTAAATTATATCTAGATGAGAATTAAAACTAATTCAAGAAAACTATACCTGGCTGAGAATCAAAATTAATTTAAGAAATCTAATATTTAAATTTTTTTTAGTTAATTTAATAAGAAAACCAATACAAAATAAAATGCTTTTCAGAACCCAAAATATTTTGAACGATGATCAAATTTGATATTACTGAATTTATTCGTCAAGATATAACCTTCTCAGGCATGTCATAAAATTAGTTACACTCTATATAATCAGGACAAAATGTCATAAATTTTTTTGATCAGGCGGATTTTTAAAAACTAAAAATATTTAAAAATCTACTAGTAATAAGCAACATGTAAAATGGACGACCCACAAGGGAATATACAAATGCGGAATCCAAAACTACAAATACACAAGGGAATATACAAATGCGGAATCCAAAACGACTGCTCAAACTTTGTAAATGTGACATTAAAACATTTTAAAATATTTTAAAATTAAAACTTTTTAAACTAGATGCTAAAAAGCAAGATAAATACAGGGAGCTAAACATATTTTTTTCAAGATAGAAACTAATGTTAAATAAATGTAATTGTTTTTTAAAGGAATATTTCTTAATGTGATATGAAATCAAAAATATTTTTTTAATATGTAAAATTCCTTCTATTTTAAAAAACTAGTTAAACCGAGTTGGTATAATGTATAATTTTTCAAAGACAGGAAAATTTGTAATCTAAAAAACACAAAAGAGATAAAATACCTAAACTTTGTAAATGTGGAACAAGTAAATTAAAATTAGTTTAATTTCGATTTAATAAGGGATACAAGAACGCAATTTCCAAATAGCGGGCAAAAGTAAGTAAAAACAGTACACGAAAAATAGCATAATTTATCTCCTAATTCCCAAATAAGATTTTAACTAATCTAGCCTAGTATATTGTGAAAAATGCAATCAAACTGAAATTAAAATTAAAAGAAAACTCATTTAATTAATTTAAATTTCTTTGATTTAGTTTTGATTCTCATCCAGATATAATTTAGAATTCTACCTCTGTTGAAAATTCTTTCGGTTGCTCCCTGACAAAGGCCAGAGAATTTTCAGTTCAGTTATGCAGTTTTCCTGCGTAGTTATTATTATTCAAATGTGCAGTTTCAATTAAGCTTCGAACTTGAGAAATAATTTAAATTTAAAGTTTGCTGTATACTTTCTAACAATGCAGAAAACTATAAAAAGAGACTAATAAGACATTTGGAATGTTCATAGTCTATTTTAGAACTTGTTTGTATTTATCATATTGCATTTCTTTTTAATGCACGCTTTGAAAGATTAAGTAAAATTTGCAACTAGACTTTGACATTCAGTGCGTAACTACCTGATTATTAGTGTATATAGGTAAAGCATTTACGAAACAGAATAAACCCATTTACTTACATATTCATCCAAAGTACTAAGAGTTTTTCATTATCTTTTTCTATTATTTAAATCAGTTTAAAAATAAGAAGCCGTGCAAACGGGATAGTGATTACCGATGCTGACTGCCGTACTGAAGGGCTTGGGCTCGAATATAGGTTCTGTGCGGCATTGATGCTGCTAGCTGAAAGTCCTCTCGTGATGTTGGTGTTAGGGGAATTGGTGTGGGAGACCCTCGGACCCGTCTCCCGAGGAGGTCTCCTTCAAAATTGGGCGTGGAACTGAGGGAAGTCGTACTGTCACCTGTGTGGTGACCAAGGCTCTTGCCAGTGAAAGACATAATTCTGTCTCCTTGCACACGAAGAATTTCGAGGGCTAGCTCTGACATCAGACAAGCGAAAGTAGTCACAACAACAATAAAAAATAAATAAGTATAAGTGAGCTAATAGCAGTCTTAACTTGACCTAGAAAGAGGGTAAAATCTGACTAACAGAAATTCTTCAATACAGTGACACATTTACTTTTGAATACTTGCGTGTTTTAAATTTATTTGCAAAATTAGCTAATAAATATTGAAGAACTGACTCTATTTTTTTTCATTTATACATTGTTTTCTTTTCCGAACTCTCCTTGTTTAAAAATATTTTGTATTTAATTGAATGTCTTTCAACTAACATATTATACTTTCCATGAATTTTCGCATAAATTGGATTAATTTTTTATATAATCTATTTTCGATATTTTTCCATTCCTCCATCTAAAATTACTTTGACTTGGTTTCTACTTTGACAATTCAGCCATAAGCGAACAAGCGGAGATAAGCGAACATCCTATTTAGAATCATTTTCCTGAAAGGACTGGGAAGATTTTCCTGATAAATCGTAAAACGTTTTTGCATTCCAAGTTTTTGTCCAGATTTTTTCAGGTTTTTCATTTAAAATCTATTGCATTTTTTTACTGATTCATTATGTTTCCTATAAAACCTAAACCTCTCTTATTAGAGAGCGTAAAACTTCCTAAATTATTATATCTTCACCACCGTATTTAACAGTTGGCAACAGGTTTTTCGGATTCAGCTCTTCGTAGGCCATATGTGGTGCAACTGGGCTATAGGATCCAAACATATTAAATTTTGATTCGCCTGCAAAAATCACATAATGCCAGTATGATAAACCTTTATTTACCATGGATTTTGCGAACTCAAAATATCACTGCCCCCCTCTTTTTTTTTTTTTTTTTTTTTTTTTTTGTTTTTTGTTTTTTGTTTTTGTTAATGAAGAACTTCCTTTTTATGATTCGGATATGGTATCCATATGTTTTGTTGAGTTTCAGAATTAACTTTCTTTGTGAACTGCCTGTGTAATTCATCTGCAAGTTTCTCAGCACTAAGCCTCGCAGCTTTGATTGCTTTTTTTTTTGCACGCAATTCCTTGATACTAACTTGAAACGCGCTTCTACTATGGATATTGGATGGAACAGTTGAAATGCTGAATACCATTTTAACTGTTTCATCCAATATCCATAGATTTGCAACATCAAATACAGTCGATCAAATCGTTAGCACGCCGTACTAATGATTTTTATGACATCCCTAGTAATTTTGCAATCTTTAAAGTACCATTTAATTAAATTTTTACTGGGGTTGCTGTTAATTCGTAGTGCCTTGTCATGGTCACTTCAGATTTCAAAATCAGTGAAATATTTTGCTGAGGAACTAATAATTTCAAGTATTTAGTGACGTTAAACACAAAGCTAATATTAAAAACATACGTAAATAGCAGAATTGTTATTTAAATGTCCATCTTGTGTTACAATGTAGATATAATTCGTATAATATATTTCATAAAAAGTTCAACAAAACATTTGAGTGTCTGAATGATCAAGTGGTTC